AACTTAATAATTAAACTAATTTAATTTAAGTTTTTTTTTTCAAATCACCAATAAACAAGTTACTAGCGAAAAAAATAAAAACTATATAAATAAGAACTAACTGTAATTGAACCAAAATCAAATCAATAATTAATTTGTTTGACTTAATCATGAAGGCATGGAAACTTTTTTTTGAAGTGCCAGTATCATATTATAAAAAAAGTAAAGGGGTTAAAGTAAACGTCGGCTAAAAGGAAGTACAGCTAGACCACAATAGAAGAATAAAAGATATAGTATTAAGTAACACATGGGTCAGTCTCTTTGTCACATCCCAGTCTTTTGTCAGATATCGAGTGACCTGTAGTAACTCTTGCATAGCATTCAAAGCAACCTGTTAGGCTTGGAGGTTATGTTTCAAAAGTACATTGACCTTTTTTAAAAAAAAAACTCAGTACGCATAAAATTTTCACAAAATTCGTTGCTCCAAAATCAGATATTAGCCTTTTTAATTGACAATTTATTAATCTAAACAAATTTTCATACATTGTTTTCAAGTAGGCTAAAATTGTATTATTTGTAATTAGTTTTATAGCTAAAATAATAAAATACTCTATATCATGTTTGTCTATTTCCTTTATCATTCGTAGTCTGGTTAATTTCCTACTTTAAACGTGTGAATATGACAAAATTAACTTTCCATTTTTTTATGTCTATGCGCCAATGTAAGTACAAATTACTGCGTACGGTTAATTTTTACCTTGACCGATATTGATACCTTTCTACAGAATAGTTATTAACTTCGTTTTATCACGGGCATCATACGACGCAATTATTTTATATCGCAATAATTGGTTAGTAAAAATCGATTGTATTACAGCTGTGGCTTTCCACTGTTAAACACATTTATAAAAACGCAACGTAATTGCAGACGGACAGCGGTCACTTCGCTATTTCGGCGAATGTACATGGTTTGCTTGTTTTCCAACTTTTAAACTAAAAAAATAATGTATTTTACATTATCGTATTCTAATAAAATTGTTGTATAGTATACAATTTATAAATACCAATATTATTTTATTAATACGAAAATTTGGATGGATGGATATTTTTACTATGTATCTCCAAAACGACTAAACGAATCAAGCTAAATTTAAATGTAGAAAATAACCTGGAAGAACACATGACTACTAATTAAGTTTATTTTAATTCATCACGGAGGGAGTCGCGGGCGACGGTTTTACAATTTATTTAGTTAATGCTACATCTTTGCACTAGCAATAAATTCAATGAACAACGCCTAACCAGGATAACCTCGAAAACAGTAGCAAAACAGTAATAATAAGCTGCAAGCAAAAAACTTAACAACATACTGATTACTAAACACACTACTTAAACTTATCCTTTGCCTCTAACAAATAACAACGATGTTTATGATTTTAATCAAACACTTATCTACTATCAAACGACAATATTGATTCTTCAATAAAATATAAGCTATAAAGATACTACTAATCATTGAAGATAAAATAAAAACTAAATGTATGATGTCATAACAATCGTTTAAATATCTAAAAATCTGTTTTTTTCTATTAGGTATCTTATATTAGCCGTCTAGATTTTAGGACGCCGCTAAAATTGTTATTAATTAAGAACGTAGAAGTGTTTGTAAAGACTGATAGCAGTTAATAATTACACACACGAATCTGTTGTGCGACACAAACACAATATCTCAAAGGATGCGTCGATATTACGTAACCCTCAATTGCTTTATAATGAACCAACATAAAACATAAGGTTAAATACACAGTTATCATAATAAAACGTAAACTTAAATGTGAAACTAATCAATACTTTAGTTATAACGTGAGAACGTATTTTATACAAGAATACGTTACGGTTCGCTTTCCTACACCGAAAATGTAACGCAGTTTTCATCATACTAAACTGGTTTGTTATTATTATTTTCATTAATAAAGAAAAAAATATATGAAAATTTGACAAATCGATCCTTCTAGAAAACACATTTAAAACTTAACTAAATTACAACAAAAGTTAAATTATTCAAACATTTCCTAAATAAAAAAGCTGACCTAAAGTAGTTAATTGTCTATACCTAAACATTAAAAAAATAAACTTACTTTTTTTGTGTAGTCTGTAGAAATAAAGGTCAACGAGCGTGCAGCCAGCGCCAGCGATTGGGCAGAATAACTGGCAAAGGAGGGAGGACTGTCGTTTTATACTCGACCGAACCGAACTTTACACGGAATGATTCCTCATATTTTCATCTAGTTTTTGATACACATATATTTTCAGTTTGATAATTGCATCCTTAAGTTTGGGATTTATTTTCTTATCAGCTATTAAATATCTACAAAAAAAACACAAAATAATTCGGTTTAACTGTCATACGATGTGAACTAAAACTCAAGTAAAAAGGTATTGTTTTTCAGATTTTTTATGCTACTCAATATAAAATTTTCTATCATATACTTAGAAATAAAATAATCCAATTAATTTATGATATATGAGTAAGAATATAAGAATATCCTATTTATGCATACGATTATTCAGGTTAAACGAGAGCTTTACAAATGAATAATACCAGAGATTCGTCGATTGATCGAACTAAACGTTAATCCAACTCTTACCCGCACCTAGAGTTGTTAAGTGGAAACTCAAATGGAGCTCATAAGTGTAGACGTAGCCAATAATAATAACTTAACCAATATACGTCTCTGTATATCAATTAATAAGGTAAATTGTCAATTTACCTTACCATGTGTTGCCGAAGTTATATACTTATTACAAAATTAATGTCAACAAATAATATCCTTACTTTTTAGCCCCGGAAACTGTTACCTTCCAGTCGCTTGAGAACTTGTAGGAAGTATTTCTTCGCTTGATTGGTCTGCAGATAGGTCAGTTCTTTGCCACAAGCAAAGAACCTAGACTTTTCTAACAATGACACGTAAGCGGAACATTATAAAATCTAGTGAATTAGGTATTTAATTGCAGATGTTTTTGACAATATCTATGGTAAATGAAGAACTTATTGGTAGGTCAGTTGCTTGCAAAATTGAATACCGAATCAAAGATTATAAAAATCATAATTGTACAAAAATTTTGTTGATTTAAAATTATAAAACAACTTGGTTTTTCTTTGGTTAATCACTTGACGTAAAAAATTAAATGTTTTAATAATTAAAGAAATTTATTAAGTCGTTAATTTCTTAATTAATTTACGCAAATACATACTAACAAAGTAGGTATACTCTTACTAATGATCAGAAGCGTCGGTTACTACGTCACGCAATGATTCAGTGACGTTTTTCCCCGTTTCATTTCCTGGAATCACAAATTCCTGTGGTCCAGCGGCTGAGAGTTTGAATCTTTTCTTATTTTGGTCTTTAATATTTCCGAAAATTTTACCTCACAACCTATTACGTATTTATTAGCAGTATCAAATTGTGTAACTTTATGTAAAATAATTAAGTTTAGCTAGAATTGTGAGTCTAAGTTTTAAGTTTGAAATTAATATTTTATCTTCAAGAAATAACTGTATCGTCATTTATGTCAGTCCAATGATTGACGTAGGCCTTCCCCAATACCGTCCACAATGTGTTTCGTTAATTTCAAATATCATGGCGCTCCAAGGTCACAGGCGCGCGGCGCCCCCCGCAACCACGCCACACCCAATATTATATTTTGTGTTCTCGCGAAGTTAATAGCCGACTTTGACTTATGTCCGATAACATAGCCCTTTTGCTTTACCACTATTTATATTTCGTACATCGCTACTTTACTACGTGTTATCCATGCGCTGATGTCACTAGATAAGAAACTTTTGTTGGTGGTCATCACTCAGTCTATGACTTGTATTTCAGTCCGCTCCAATCCAAAACAACCAAGTACGAAATTCAAATAAACGTCTTGTCGATAATGTTACCTGTTATCTATCTTGTTATGTATACACTTTATTAAGATTAATTTGTTATTTTACCACAGATATAACAGATATTAAGCCTGCAATAAATCTTACTAATATTAAAAATGCGAATGTTTAGGTGGATGGATGGACGTATGGAGGGATGGTTGGATGTTTGTTTGAAGGTGTCACCGGAACTGTTCAACGGATCTCGCTAAAATTTTGCATAGATGTAGAACGTAGTCTGGAAAAACACATAGGCTACTTAATATATTTTTTTAATACCGTGCGAACGGAGTCGCGGGCTAAAACTAGTGAATTGATATTATTGTTTTTTCTTTTATTTTCCGAAACACTGTTTCGAGTTAAACAGACTGCCAAGGTCAACGAAATCGCCATATGTAAGCATATTTTAAGACAGTGCGAAAAATTTTAACTTCGACAAAATATCATTCTATTCTGGCGACGAATAGTTCGGACAACGGTCAGTGTCTGAGATCTCATGTTACCTTTGCCTCGTACGGGCTACAGCGCGACTACAACCGTAACGTGTCTATTGTGTCCCACATAAGCCTTACGACATGGAATACTAGTAATTAATGATTTTTTTGTCTTCCCTAGCACCAAACAGGAATTAAGGTCATATATCGACACTCAGCCTCTCAGCCGTGAAGAAGGCTCGTCCAAGTCTGCCGTAACATCAATGTTTATCCTTTATGTATAAAGGATAATTGAGCTCTGGAAGTAAAAAAACAATTTTAGAACGCTTAAAAATAAAAATAATTAATAAATATTTTAGTTAAAACCGGTAATTTCATAAAATTACAAGTAACAATGATAGTTCAAGTGAGTTTCATATGCATGACTTGATAAATATACAATGTATAGTAACTTTAACACTGCAATAGGTTATAAACATCAGTATGATCTTAATAAAAAAAATAATGTATTTGCTTTCATAGCACATAATTTTAAAATTATATTTACGCATTTTATTTAAATGTTTAAAAAGATGTGAAAATACTAAATTGAACAGCTGTTTTAAAACTGATCAAACGACAACTGTCAACTGTCAGAATAGATTTAATCTGTCAGTCTGTTAAAATGGCAGTACGATTAATCTTTAACTTTCTTTGTAAATAATTAATAATTGGACGATGTTGTAAACATAGTGTGTACAATATATGATCTACAAGTTGTTACTTGTTGTATAAGTAACAAAATGGGCGACAGCAGTGATTCGGAGGAGTTTTACGACGCCGAGGAATTCACACCCATCAAGGGTTCAAAGTAAGACAGTGTTTATTTTTTCAGGTTCTTTACATGTTATTTTTATATAAATCATACGAGAATTGAAAGAAATATTTCGTCAGTGTTGCATAGATGCTTAGAATGAAGCATAGTGAAATGTACAAGCAATGCTTTTTAATTATTCTTCATACAATATGGTGTTCGTTTTAACTTGCAATTCTATCGTAGTTTAATTTGTTATTTGTCCTTGATTGCTATTGACTAACAAAAAACGGCGCACCTTTATGTTAATACAATCTGTCATCAAATGTTACATGTTAAAAAATTGGAAATAAATAGTTTTACAAAATCTTATGCTACTATAATTAATATTATTTACAATTAAACATACACACTCTAAAACTTTATGTGACAATTATATACACCACAAGCCTTAATTAAACGAATTTATATAATGTTATATGTTTACCATATCAATTAATTTGATATTATGTGACTTACTTTATTAATTATTTTATCATCTCTTTCTATCATATACATAAATACCTTATTAGAAAGAGAGAATATGATCACAAATAAAATTAATATTAATTTTAGGAGGTCATCATTATGCAAGAACATAAATGTGACTGATGGTGGTTCTCCAGTCTTAAAGGAAAAGGTTTCTGCTGTAAAGCCGGAGGAGTTGCCACCACCAACCAAGCACAGCACACCAGCTGTTGATGCCAATGTTGAAGATGACAAGATTAGTGTTAAAAATGTAAGTCCACTTATGATGTGTTTTATTTTACGAACAGTACTTGTTCTACGCTCGTGCTAAAGTGTAATTGTTGCTTTATGACCTTTGTTGATTTACAAAGTTAGAATTTTATAATATGGTGACTAGGCCTTAGTCAATGACGCTGGCTCTGTATGGTGTGTTTTTACACATATCTTAAAAAAAATTCGAAATGTGTCATTATCAATTTTGATTAGTAAGGGCTATAGTTTCCAAAACTCCATATCTAGTGCATGAGGACAGGTCATGGATCACTTCAGTCAACCCAGTTAACTAAAGAACTTTAGCAAACCCTAATATTACTGGTGATCTCTGGGAGCAATCTCTGCAAGCCGAGATACCTGACCCTGTCGGAGGAGCCTGACACACAATGTTGTATTATGTGATTTGCTTTTACCTATTCATTTTTACTATGCTTATTGTTGTTCAATATAATTAGTTTTCCTTATTATACAATAAATTAGTCAACGTCGCACAATTTTTAGTGCATATTTTATGGTCCACTTAACCGAAGACTCATTAGTGTATTGGTTGGATAATTACTTGCATAATTTAAGTAGTAAGTCATTACTGTATCGGAGTACGTAACTCTATTGTGCGAGGTGCGTATTTTATTTATGTAATGAAATGTGTATAGAATTCAATGAGTGTATATTGTGTGAATAGAGTCAATTTCATTGCAAAATAAATACATTTTTGTTGTGTTATATTATATGTGTGTTATATCAAAAAGAGTGTTTTGGGTGAAACAAAATACAACTGTGCAGAAATGTCAGTCTCTTTCAAAACAGACATGACAATGTTATGTTTTGGTGATAGTGTTTCATCGGTGAAAACTCAATTACTGTAAATTGTAATTGTCCAAGTCTTCAGCTCTATTCAGGCTGGCAATTTATATACAACAGGTTTAAGGTGGCATAGCGCTAAGTCTCAAACTAAGCTATAATGCCATTATGAAGTGGATTGGTTACATTTGACTTTATTGCTGACATGTGTCACTATTAATGTCATCAGTGGATCTTCCCCAGGTGGTGCAGGGTCGCAAGAGATTCCAGGAGTTGCGGCGTTGTATGCAGACAGAGGAGGAGGACGACGGAGTGCCCGACACTGCATTACCTTCTGACCATACCTATGCACTGGAACATCCATTCAAGTTAGTAATTATTCTATTTATTAATTAAAAAGTAACTCGGCAGACTAGAGTTATAAAAAGAGATATATAAAGGAATAATAATTGAATGACAACACACTCATCTGAATCGGTTCAGCTATTTAGGCTCTAGGCTGTTAAAATAAAATTTATATACATAAAAACTTTTTAAATGTGAAAATAAAATTCAATTCAACATCAAAGAGCCATTCGGTTAATAACTTAGTAATGTTTGTTTGTATTTATTGCCTTTTGAGCAGTAAATTAGGTTGGTCTACTAATTTGTAACTTTTAAGGTTCTATATGTAAATGATGTCAACCATTTGCCTATGCATTGATCAATGAACAAAAACAAATGTAAATATAATATAAAAAATAACACTAAGTGCGTTTATTAAGTTCTTGATATACTATACTAAAACTATATAAATATTTATATTATAAACTTCCAACTAACTATTCACGACCACATTACGCCGTCATACTTCAACTTCCCGCGCAATTCTCTTCTCTGTTTCACCTATCTATTTTTATAACTAAAAAGGCAAAGGTTCTTAGTGTCCATTATGCCACGTCTTTGGCAGAGACCTAATATTTCATTCTTCACAACAATTAGTTTAGACTGTTCCTATTTACGTTTGACAGATTTTTTTTTTAAATATATGATATTTAAATTAAAGATAATAATCTGTATGTGTGTAAAATATTTATATTGGACAATTGCGCCTGAAAGCCGTTATATTATTTATTATCATGTCATTATTTTTTTAACTAATGAGAACATAGTACAAAGAGAAGCATAGTGTGAACTGAGCTAAGGTTTGTATTGTTATAGAATAATATCGCACGACACAATGAGCCTGCAGAGTATGACGTCACTGGGCCGCATCGGCAGGATACTTAGTGGCGCAGCCGAAACGCACTGTGAGTCACTTTGTCTATTAAATATTGAGGGAAAATTATTTTTTAATGTATTTCGTTTACAATAACGAACATGTTTGGTAGGTTATTTAAATAAGGAATTACATTACTTTTTGCTATTTTAATTATACGCCCCTATAAAATTGGAATAGCAAATTTAACTTATTATGCTTTTTTGTTGTTTTTTTATGTGTCATTAAAATAATTTATTTATCACATTATAATATGTTTTTTTTATAAACAGAAATGTAGGATTATCTAACGTTTAGCAAAAAAAAAACATAAAATTAAAAAAAAGTCAATTCACAAGACATGACTACGATTGTATTTATTGTTTGAAAGCTACTGAAAGGCCAATAACACATTGTTATTTCTTAATTTATTATACAACGAGTTTAAGAGATGAAAATATATTTCTGTATATGTCTTTCATGAGTGGAAACTCATAGTATTGTGTATACTTTACAGCAAACTTCCGTGACCTTGCCGCACCTTCTGCGTCATCCAGGGAACCATCAACCATATCCGATGACCCTTTAGCGTCAGACAATAGAAGTCAGAATGGTGAGTGACGTCATAATATCAACTAATTGTTTCATATTAACAATCTGTGTTGTTGCGTTTAATTCATTACATATAAGAAATAGGTACAGTCACTTTCAAACTTTATGACGGCTCGGAATTCGTTTCAACGACTTAGGAGATGCTAGTGTATTTTAATTATATACAAATATGAGAATATGTAATGTTGTAAATAAGAGTTAAAGATAAATATATATAGATGTTTCACAGACTTCTATTTACTGTGTAGAATTTTTTTCTTATCAAGTCATAAAATATAGATGACAAATTGATTTAAATATAGCATGTTTAGTTAATAGCTGTTCATTTAGATAGATATCAAATGTTCTGAAACTTAAGGTATACATAATATGTATCTGTACATCCTAAAGCAATGTATGACATAATCTATGTCTAGAAAAAGAACGATATAGTCGCTAGTTATCCTTGTCCTACCTAATTTCCCGCATACTATGGTGAATTAGCGCAATAGAATTTGCGCTAATCTACCGTTATCCATGTTCCCATCCTTTATGCCACTGAAATACGCCAAATTTTTGGACTTTTAACAAATTTATTGGAGTTGATAGAACATCAATTTGGCCCACCCGACATTCAGGAGGACAGATATGCGGTGGAGTGCGCCATATTGACTTGTTAGTTTCAAATGATTAGCTTCTTTCCCCTGGTCGACTTGACTTCGTAGGGCTGTGGCGGCGGTTTTCGTAGTAGTGCGTGTATGAAGATGGGTTGTGTTGTTAAAGCGCTGGCGACGTCCGAGCCGGACGTGATCGCCAGCACGAAGGCCAACAGCCTGAAGCATGCGCGTGCGCCGGCCGTTGTGACCGTGTCGGGCGCGCCCGCCCCGCCCGCGCACCCCGCGCACACTCCGCACCCCGCGCAGCCCGTCGCGCCGCCCCGCAGGAAGAGGCGCGGTGAGTGCATCACCTCCTATCCTCTCCACCACTCCACCACTCCACCCTATACCTTATACCCAACGTTTATCACCTTACACCTATCACCCAACCGTGTAAATATCATATTTTGTGAGTGTAGTATTGAAAGATATCTTTATTTCTTTACTGTAGTATTTTTGTAGTATTATTTATTTATTTAGCACATCTTTTCGTTATTAAAATTTATGGAACACTTTATTGTGTACCTATTCTTATGTAGCTCATATTGTTGTTTTTACGTTTTTCATTCGAATGAAGAATTTTCCTGGTTAACTTTGTAGAATTTCCTACACCGCAAACACAGAAATTCCTATATATTTTAAATTATTGATTATTTTAGTGTAATATATTTTTGTATTTTTTTCCTAAATTATTTCCAACAATCGTTAACTAATTTCATCTCTATATGTTTCATGCTTTTGTGTAAAAATACCTATGTTATTTAGTTAATAATCCATCAATATTACTGCAGCTAGGGTACATAGTAATTAAACTAGACACCATTTTGAATGTTTTCCATGTAGAGAGATTAAGTAGAAGATCTCAATCTTTGATTAACTAACTCCTGTAGTATTGATTACTTGTGAGGTCGTAGAGGAGCTTAACATAAGGGGATTTTAAACGGTCAAATGTGGTGTTACGTTGTGGTGCAGACAAGGTGCCGGGGTCGCAGTCACAGTGCGGGGAGGGCGAGGACACGCGCAGTGTCAGCACGGCTGGTGACGATCCCATCTACCCGCGCCGACCTGACAAGCCGCAGCTCGATGACCTGATGGTACAGGTACACCCCACCTACCACGTTACATCATGCAGGCTATATTCAACGACGCTGGCCCACTGCAGGTTGACTGCACACATATATTTCTTTTTAAATAGCGAATTTCTTTTTAGATATGTGCAGGTTGTAATACGATGTTTTTCTTCACCGTAAGAACGTCGACTAAATGTTCGTATGCAAATATAAAGTTGAAAAACAGTTTGGTACATGGTGAGATTCGAAACCAAGAACTTACAGATTACAAGTCAAGACTTAAGACATTACCCAGTCTTGAGTCTTTAACGAATTCCGTCAGTTATGGAATAGTCTATACCGTAGCTCTATAGGTCTGAAAGATATTGATATCCTTGCAGCCTTCACTGTCACACTCGTTGAACCAAACAATGGCTCTGCCCAGCCCCGCCAGCACCATAGAATCCCTGACCAGAGAGTTCCAGGACTCATTAGAGCTCTCGCAATCTAAATATGGTGAGTTATTTTACACATAACTCATATTATGCATGAACTAAATAAAAAAATATCTCCATAAAAGTCGATGTTATATTTAGTACTAAAATCGTAACAATAACATATGTTCTCTATGTTTGTCAGGCAACGATGTGAGCAGTGCGAGCGCGCGCGAGTGTCGCTCCTCGCGGTCCAGCGAGCGCGCCAGCGGCTCCTCGCGATCCAGTACAGCGCAGCGTCCTCCGCATCTGCTGCACTCCGCACTTGACATCAACGAGGCCGTGCGGGGTACGTCCGTCTCGAAGGACCATCTATACATATATAACTCATAGAAACTTGACTCTAAAAGTGTAAAAAAATTAAGCTTCGTATTAAAATGAATGACTTTATATGTAGGAGAGTGTATGGTGCGGGCGCAGGATGAGGAGAGGGCGCGCAGCAACTCGCGCACGCACAGTGAGGGTCGTGCGCACGCGCACCTCACCGCGCAACAACAACACGCCCAGCCCCCTGACATGCAGCAGACCAGCGCCAGCCTCGGACACGCCAGGTACCAGGACATTACGACATCGTGGAATAAATTAAACAATTCCTCGACCGATCTTATGAAAAATATGTTGTGGTCTCCGTTTCTCGTAGTGAGAAGGAAAGAGAGATGAGATGTTGTGTTGCAGGAAGAGCGTGGGGGGGCGCACGCGGCGGAGGTCGGCCGGGGACTCCCCGACGGGTGCGCCGGCGCTGCGCACGCGCTCCTCCTCCGGCCACCAGCTCAGCGACATCGAGATCCTCGAGCAGGTCACCGTGCTCAACCTCGACACCGGTAACTATGCACATGCACCCCTCTCTATACCTCTTATACGGTAATTTACGTCGTATTTACGTATAATTTTAAATGGACAAGAGATAGGTAGCAGAACCTGTAAATGTAGAATTTTTTTTTATTTACCTTTATTTATTTCATTCTCTTATTCGTAAATCTTTCTTTTTGGTCGCGTAAGGTTCTACTGCACTCTTCTCAGAGCCCTTCCCCCGCATCTGTACACCCTGGTTTCAATACATGAAGGAACAATATATATTCTGATTGTGAGATAAAATATTTTGCAGGTGAACGTATGCCGCTGAGCGTGGCGGAGCACAAGCTGCCGCAGTGCATCAACCCGCTCAGCCTGCACATCATGCGCCTCACCTCCGAGTACATCAGCAGCGCACGACCGCCTGATGACGACAACACCAGGTTACTATCTCTTTTCTATTACTTTGGCTTCATGCCAACGAACATTCAGACTATTATAAAGGGGTCATCGATCTCCATTAATATCTTCAACACCAGAGGAACTGAAATTATGTTGTTTTAAACCACTTAACATTATTTGTCTCAGCGCCATCTAGCGAAAATCACCTCAAATTAGGATATTTTTAACTTATACGCTATTTTTAATTACCAGAAACAACATATTGCTAATATTGATCATATTTATATTATCTGTTTTTTTTTGTTAATAAAAAATAACATTTTCAATATTGACTATAACAAGCGGGAATTGCATGAAGCATAATAAACGTAACGCATGCGAGTAAATTATTGTAAATGTATAGGAAATTGTGGCATGTTGTATATAACCAGCTCAATTTAGACTAATTTTATATATGTATGTCTCTCTGATATGTCGACTTTTAGAAATATATTATTAAATTGAATTTAAGCTTTTCATTTGCAAATTTTCTATCCGGCTCGAAGGACCGAAATTTGTTTTTCAATGTAAACGCTCAATACTTCTACGTTATTGAAAATATTACTTCCCTAAACTACATAAAATCCTTTCGTTGTTATATAAAATCAATTTTATATACTTTATAGAAAAAAAATAGAATATTTAGTTAAAAAATGATAATTGTGTTACAGTCCAGAGACAAAAGCAAAAAGCATATGGCGCAGGGGAGTGCGCCGCTCCCCCTCAGTCCCCCTGCACCCCCCGCACCCCCTACACTTGAGCAGCTCCCTCCTCAGTGTCGACACTAGGTTTTATGACTACCCTCACTTTACTATCGATGTTGTCTCTCTACTCTCTACTCAAACTTTGTATTTAGTCTCCTTTATTTTTTTATTGTATTATCGCTTAGTTAGTGGTATTTATCTTGCTTTAGTTGTACTAATTATATTTTTTTACATGCATATGTAGATTCTATGGACTCATTCGGCTTAAGTGATTTTTTCCCATTAGGCCGATTGAGTGGTAGTGCGATCGGCAAACGTGTATTATAGTATTGAACATTTTGTTGCCTCTGATTTCTTTGCTAGTTGTGTATATAATTGTTATAAAAATAAGCTTTGAATATATTTAATCAGTGTTATGATAAAACCAAATAGATGTTTGAAATGTAATTTCGCAGAGAAACCGACGAAGAGAGTGAGAGTGTTTGTGTGGGGGGAGTGGAGGACGAGACGAAGGAGATCAAGCGCGAGTCTACTGACAGGCAGACCACCGCCATCAGAAGAAAAACTGAAAAGTACGTTTATACATATATACTATGCTTTATAACAACGCACACGACACAATACAAGTGGCTAAGAAAATTCATAACTAGTGAAAACGACCCTTAATGTTGGTGAACATGTCGCGGACTTTTATTTCCTACCCATTTCGGTAAAATGTCATTTAAATCACAATACAAATAAGTCGATAACTTGTCATAGCATACATATGGGCTTAGTAATAGCTCCTTTGGTGACTCGAGTGGGAAGTGAATTAATTTCTCTGACTGTAAGGTTTGAACGTGAGTTATTTGATTCAGAGTGCTGATGAACGATTTAGTGAAGTGCCACTCGCACGACAACATTAACAGGCGGTTGACAGGCCGGGTGGCGGCCAACTCAAGGTGACCCGCATCACATCACTAATGTGCTTCTGACAGTTTCACATTTTCCTTTTGACAGTTTGACATTTGACACATGTCTTGTGACGCAGTTGTGTCAAATGTGTTGCGGTTTACGCATTATTTCTGTTTTGGATTTTGCTTTAATTTAAAAGAGGTTTTGTTTTTTTTTTTTACTTACACTTTACCGTGTGTTGTATTGTGATGTTTTTTTAATGCGTGATTTTAGCTTTTGAAGATTGTTTGAAAATTGAATATTTGCATTAATTCTACACATTATAGTGTGAAATTATTTGCTTTAAATATTGCTGCAGATTTTCTGATCTCCATATTTCATCTTGAATATATAAAATATCATTGTGTATTTTTTTTCACAGTATTGCTTTATGTGTATTTTTTATTATCAAATTGTATACCTTTGTTTCAGATGTATAAATAAATAAATCAATTACGCTAATTTTAGTTGTATCAAATGTTCACAAACAGCACCATCCAATTTTGTGAAGCTGCAATAATCTATCGTATTAATAATCAGTGACAAACGACGCACACTGCTAACATAACTTCAAAACTGACAGCTGTCACTGCCATGACAGCTGTCACTGCCATGACAGGTGTCACTGTGATGAGAGATGTGACAGTGAGTGACGTCAGTAACGTGTGCAGGTTGAAGCGGTTCTTCGGCAGCACGATGAAGCGTACAGTGGACGCGGCGAAGTCGCTGGCGCAGGAAGTGTCGCACGCGCGTCACAAGGAGGACGTGGCTGACATCGCGGATGACGTGCGAGGGGAACATAACATTAAACTGAAAGCCTCCAATTCGCACAAAGGACCTTACGATTTTGACGGATGTGTGCGGCATGTACAGGTTAGTAATGCTACATTGTCCGAATTCCATAGTAATCATTCGAAGATTAAAAAAAAAACTGTAATTAATTCGTGCACAAAAAAAGTTGACTTCTGTCTGTACCACTATGACACGGATTATTTCTGTAAGGTTGTTATATTTTTATTAAAAATGTTGTTATAAAGTCGTAATTAGCACGTGTCGTGCAGGAGATGGGCAGCGGTCACGCGGGCGCGGTGTGGTGCTGCAAGATGAGCGTGTGCGGACGTCTGCTCGCCACCGCCGGACAGGACCGACTGCTGCGCGTCTGGGTCACACGCGACGCACACCACATGTTCCAGGTACACCCCCCCCCCACACACACATACACACAACTACTTACATCATTATGTTGTTTACATTTTGGTACAGTCAAGGCTCTTCGCGGTGTACCACTTTGGTAGCAGTCAGTTGCTCAAACGACGGTATATTATTAAAAAACCATTAGTCGTGTATCACTGACAGACATTTTTCGTACCGTTTCGTTGTTTCGATATTTACGAAACGTTCTAACGCTTGTCGCTTAAGTGGAACACCGACAGATTCCCCGATTGTACGTAGTACAGACAAGTTCATAAGTGTTACACAGGTCGGCCCATCAATGGTACATTCATGCACAATTATAGTACAGTGCTGTTCAAAATTCAGTACTTTGCGTCGCAAAAATGTTTACTTAGAACTGTATGTAACAATGTTCCCCAGGACATGCGAACAAAATACAACGCAGAGAAGAAATCCTCACCGACACCGTCACAGGAGTCCTTGTCCCTCTCCGCCCCTCCCCCCAGCCCCGAGGCGCCCCTCGGTCCCTCCGCGCCCTTCTGCCCCAAGCCCTTCTGCGTGTACTCGGGCCACACGTCAGATCTTCTAGACGTGTCCTGGTCAAAGAACTACTTCCTCCTCTCGTCGTCCATGGACAAGACGGTGAGGCTGTGGCACATCTCCCGCGGGGAGTGTCTCTGCTGCTTCCAGCACATTGACTTCGTGACCGCCATCGTGTTCCATCCCAGAGACGACAGGTACTTCCTCTCCGGCAGTCTGGATGGCAAACTGAGGCTCTGGAATATTCCCGATAAGAAGGTAAGCGCTGATGATGGATTTACTTAAGGAACAGATTGATTTATGTTTTTTTTTTAAATTTTGTCCACAATTATCTAATAATTATTTTTAATGTTTAATACGACGTAACGATGACCAAAGATATGACAAATAGAGGTTTATAATGTTTATAATTTTAAGATATATATTTGCATTCACAGGTGGCGGTATGGAACGAAGTCGACGGCAAGACGAAGCTAATAACCGCAGCTAACTTCTGTCAGAACGGTAAGTTCGCTGTGGTGGGCACGTACGACGGCCGCTGCATCTTCTACACGACTGACCAGCTGAAGTACCACACGCAGATAGACGTGCGCTCCACTCGCGGCAAGAACTCCACCGGCAGGAAGATCAGCGGCATAGAACCCATGCCTAATGACGACAAGATACTCGTCACATCCAACGACAGTAGAATACGACTCTACGATTTGCGAGACTTAAATCTCTCTTGCAAATATAAAGGATACGTCAACGTTTCCAGTCAAATTAAAGCCTCCTTTTCCCACGACGGGAAATACATCGTCAGTGGATCAGAGAACCAATGTATTTACATATGGAAGACGTATCACGATTACTCCAAGTTCAGTTCGGTGAGGAGAGACAGGAACGACTTCTGGGAGGGTATAAAGGCTCACAACGCGGTGGTGACGTGCGCCGTGTTCGCGCCCAACCCCGACCACATGATACGTATGATCGCCGAGAGGGAGGCGGAGGCTAACATGGCCGGCAGCACTCCAGAGGAACGGGAGGAAGCGGTGAGTTAACGAACTTACAAACGAAAAACAAACTTTGAAACGATCAATAGTAAAAAGCCACATTCTCTTTCAAGATATATTTTTTCATCTCTTAAGTCAGTCTAAACTAATATTATAAAATAAGATTTGATTGTGTATTTGCATAGAAAGTATATTATCCCCGCATGACATAGACTGGATTCTTTTTAATTGCGCGAACAAAGTCGCGTGTAATTTCTTGTTAAATATGAACCGTTTGTACCAACAGAAGGCGGCTGAGGGCGGCATGGTGTCATCCTCGCAGACTGGACACGTGCTGGTGAGCGCTGACTTCAACGGCTGCATCAAGGTGTTTGTGCACAAAGCCAAGCCCAAGCACAGCTCGCTGCCCGCCTCCGCGCTCGCATAGCACGCCCCCAGCCCCGCCCCCGGCCCTAGCCCCGCCCACAGCCACGCCCCCGCCGCATTCTGTCTGCAGCTGCTCAGGTGTCACAGGTAACACACGAACCTGACTCGTGTGTAACACAACGCCCACGTCACTTAAGAGTAACATGTATTAACTCTTACGTGTCTTAGTCTATTGTAACATGAAGTCACATTCAGGCAACATACTACAATTAAGGTGACTTATTACAATATAACAGGTATCTTATTCAAGTATATCAAGTAGTAATTAAAATTTACTCGAATGTAACATGAAATGATATCCATGTGACTTACTTGATTGTAACATGAATGAGTGTAACACTCAGGTAACATATATGGCGTAATTAGAAGTAACGGTACAATTTAACGGCAAAAAATGCTTATATTTGGAAGTTTACGTCTCTAGCTAAAAAAGGACAATAAGGCAACTATTAAAAATGAGATTTATACCAGATGCTTAGAGAAACATGCCTTTATTTAAAATGAAATTTAATATTTTAGGCACTATAGTGTCTATGACAAAACGCTAATCATGAGATTTATTAGAAAAGAACTTATGTAAATATTTACTTATGTTAAATAGGTTTTATACTATAGAATTGTTTTGCTTTTTTTATTTATTAACTCTGAATTCTGAAGTTTGTATTAGCCAAATAAAATCTACACTAAGAAACTGTTTAAGTAACCTTTAAACAACTCTGAGTATGGCAATAAAACTTATTCTGTTGAATTACTTTAAGATATACAATGGAATGCTACAACTTTATTAAATACAAAATAATATCAAATAATTACTGTGGGTTTTCACACAAATACAACATTTTTTTTCAAAGAAAGTGAGAGTTTTTGTATGTGTACTTCGGAAATGTAAGATGTCATCTCTTTTATTCTTCTTGAAAAAAACTGAGATAGCCATTATTTTGTTTGTATACAGTTTAAAGTGATGGTTTGAGAGCAGACAAACAAACAAGTAACGCACACATGTGTATTTTGAATTTATTTTATTCAGATTACTATCACTAATGTTTTCCTATTAACTTTATTATTAAACGCAATACACTATTTTTTGTTATTTTCTTGTTATTGTATGATAGGCTCTGTTTAATTTCTTTTTATCGTCACGCGAAATTATATTAAAATAAGTTCTTGCCTTAAATGTGACTATGAGTAAGTGTAAATTGATTATTTAGTATTGTATTTTGTATAGAGATCAGGATGCCATTGTATTTATCAAATATTGTATTGTCTATGTTTAGATCGCATTTATCGCAAATAAAATCGTTAATAATTATGTTTTTTTTTTATTATATATTGATGATTGGTTAATAATAAAAACACAACAGAGTTATTTTAAAATTTTATTATCAACAATGCAAAGTGAGTGTTGGTAGCTCAGCGGTCAAGCACTTGACTTGCAATCTGCAGGTCCTGGGTTCGGATCCCACCATGTATGTGTTTTCGATTTCCGATTTACATATGTTCTGACATTCTTACGGTGAGGGAAAACATCGTGATGCTGTACATATCTGAGAAGAAATTCAAAGATATGTGTGAAGTCAACCAACCCGCAGTTGGCCAGCGTGGTTGACTATGGCCTAACCACCCTTAACTTAGGGTAGGCTCCGAGCCCCTCAGTGGGGACTTATAGTGAGCTGATGCTGATGAATACAAAATGGACTTGCTCATTATAAGATTAATTAAAAGACTTTATTTATAAAGACCCTCTATTAAACACTACAATAAAAAAAATGTTTGAAGGGTCACAATGGTTGGGTTTCTTATGGAAGTTGTTTAAAAAATAGTGTGTATTCTACTTGACACATTTACCTTAAATAGCAACATCGTAGTTTACAAAAATCCTACATAATAATTAATAACAATAAAATATTGCATGAAAATATTTCTTACAAAAAAAAACAATTAAATATGCTTATTTATAAACTCATTTCAAACATAGGAAATATATTTTAGGGCGGAATTGTTTCATCAAAAAATTAGTATAAAATGCATTTTTGTTACACCATAGACAATTTCATTATGTCGCTATAATAAAAAAAATAATGCTTATGGAAATAAAAGCAACATTAAAAAAAAATACTCAAAAGCTTTTAAATTCATTTGTCATAATTTTACTAAATCTTTAATCTTTAAGTTTTATAACAAAGCCATAACTAATATTATTTGTTGAGGATAGCGGAAAATATTTTTCACACAATTCTCTTCCACTATTAATAAAAACTATGCACTTGGAATCAAAAGTTGAAGGTTGTAACACAATCCTGGCAAATATCTTGCTATATCCATACATGGATTTAGATATTTCTTATACATACATACTAGCAACTATTTACCTGTCTGTACCTTTCTTGAGTCTTGACAACTTATCTTGAATTAACACAAACACACTTCACTTGCACACTTGCAGAAATGCAGATTACCTCTGTTTCGTATTGTAAACATGTTTATCAGTGGAAACAGTCAGAAACATTCACTACGCTTTCCAGGGTGGTTTAGATATGTAAGTCTTCCTAGTCTTGTCTCTGCGCTCGTGTTTGTCTGCGCGGTCGCTGGTGGGCGGCTCGTGCAGCTCCGAGCTGGGCCGCTTCAGGTCCTCGCCTTCAGTGTCTAAGTTACTCTCGAAGTTAACGGGCTTTGATAGCAACTGGAATCATTTAATTTTTGAGCTTTAGATAAAACTTCATTTTAGCAAAAAAGAAAAAAACGATTGTGACGAGAATGAATTGTTAAGTAGGCAAACTTTTTAAAAAATTTGACAAAAAATTGACAAACACTGATTTTAATACAATTTTTTTTATTAAGCTTTAAAATAGATAAATAAATATAATTTAAATAAATAAGAGCTCACCATGTTAACATACTGCTGTAGTTCAGTATCACTCAGTCCGTCTGTTGCAAGTTTTTGAGTAGGTCTGCTGTTACTGGTTGCAGCCAATACTATCATAAAAAATAATAGTTAAAAAATACTTAAAAATGACTTTTGACAGTGTTTACGATGTATTATTATAAACAGACAAACTTAATGAAAAAATATTATTTGAATTACATACCACTATCAGGTCTTGATAGATCTAAGGAAGCGAACCCATGACTGGCCATAGCCAGCGGGTTTGGCAGACTGTTGTATTGACTGGTATGCTGGCTAGCTGACTGGCTTGCTGTCTGTGCGGCTGGCTGGCCATTGGTGAGTATCTGCAGCGCCTGTCGCCACTGAGCCTCCATCACGCTGTGCAGCTGTGACGCTATCTGACCACGTCGACGACGATATGTCTCTAGTTTATTCTATAATAAATTTATAACAAAGAGAGATTAATACACTATCATATTGTCAGGAATTAAATTTAATATACAGATAACAAATAGTATAAATACCTCGAGGAATCCAATTCTCTCCGCAGCCTGCGCCAGCTGCAGTCGGTACAACTTGATCTCTTCTTTTTGCTTCTCTTCTAGAATGTTCACCTCCAGCTTGTGTCTGCACATATACAATCACTTTATTAAAAGAGGGAAAAGACAGCCATAGGATTTTTATTTATATAAAGTGTCTAATTAGCACGCAGCCACAAAGATATTTGCAAAAATTACTGATGCATTATTTTTATTGAAATCGAGGATATTTATTCTTACTACTACTTTCCACGCTTTTGCTTTCTACTTCTCCTTTCTTTTTTGCACTCACTATCCCTCACACAATACACATAATTTATTTTACTTTATACTGTAAAAAATTGAATAGGAGTTGTAATGACTCACTGTTCCTCGATCCTTGAAATCTGAACATTGTATGTATCAACTATAGAGTTCTCCTTAGCGCGTGCCTCCGTCTCCATGTCCTGCTGTGCTTGTTGCAGCTGCGCCTGGAAGTCGTGCAGCTTGGCCAGCACAGCCGCCTCTAGCTGGCGCTGGTAGTGACCGCGCACCTCGCTCTTCTGCACCT